CGCCACGCGATTTAGTGGTCAACATATCATCGTCACCTTCTAACCCAGCAACTTGTGAGGCCTCCTCCTCCGGTTCTATAGGAAATACCAACGCGCCTCCCTCGGTCAAGATCGCGGTCTGCTGCCAGCTGGCGCTTACGATCTGCTCGTAATTTCTCACGTTCTGCAAGCTCTGCGCGTTTCTTGGCTAATTCTGGGTCTTCAGCGACGTCAAACATCGTAACTGTGCCGTCCACATTCTTTTTGTGCCCCCTCGAAGCAGCTTCCAGTGATTCTTTAAGACGTTGAACAGCATCGTCGGTTTCCACCGTAGTTGGAAGGATACTGAGAGAGGACGTGAGGTGAGAGGTGATACGGAAAACCGATGAAGCTTCAGCTGCTGCGCCGAGATAAGCGTGGGCGTCCAATTCAGAATCGTAATCAGTGGCCTTGCGCACCTTGTTAGAACGTGCGAGCCTTTTGGACGGCATTCGATATTGTTCCTTTGGATTGGATGCAAGCTGAAGCGTCAATGAACCGTCTGACCAGCGGACGATCCGAGCATTTGACTGAAGCGTCTCACCATTGTTTGGATCATAGCGCCAGCACAGGGAGGTAGATGCAGAGTTAAAGGGCGGAGCAACATAAGTTTCTGGGTTGAAATCTTCAGACTCTATAGCGAGGAAATTGGGCATGGTCAACGTGTAGACCTGCGGTAGCTGGTTTCAGCATAACATCTCACGGAAAAAATATATAGGACAAAAAAATGTAGTACCTCTCCGTCCGTAGATTCTGGCTCTGGTACACGACTAAGACTCAAATCCATAACATTTACCGATTCGGTATAATCCATTCCGTCCTCGTCCATTGGAGAGCCATGCTGGTCATAGCGACCTTCATCGTCGCCTGAATCCAATTCCTCATCATCCAGTCTCCGTGGTTTGCGCCTACGAGTTTGTTAATTGCCGTTCACTTCGCATAGTAGGGAAAACAGAAAGTAGAAACGCACTGGTCAGGTTCCTCCGATCCAGAACCAAAGAGGTCAGCGTCATCATCCCCATTGATTTTCTCATCATCAAAGTTCAGGGAACCATTTTCGCCTATTTCAGACGCATCAGAGGAATGCCTTCGCACGTTCTCCGAAAGCTGACTTTGGCGATCGTCGTCCGAAAACATGGCGAGGAAGCTAATGATAGCCCCGACGCTCACAAACGTTGCTCTCTTCCCCCAACTCGTAGAAATACCGAGGGATTACCACAGGCCCAGGATCGCTCATATGTTGATTGATGATGCAGCTGTAACGGCGTGCAACAGCGTTGTTTCCAATTCAGAGGCAAGCCCGGATTGACGTGCAGTTGCACCCTTGTTGTGCTCAATATGCGACTGACACTGCCAAGGAAGATGAGGCGGTGGCCACTAAACCCGATACGGATGTGCAAGGAGAGAAGTTAATCGGGGCCGGGGGCTGACATCAGGGGTTTCAACGTCCAGTTTTGTTTCCAAGTTGCACCAGACCAAACACCCATAACCAACTCTCCCGGACCAGCTTTTTGTCTTTTTCAGGTGTCCAGCTGTTTCGGCTCCCTCTCATTCCCCCCTGGGATGCTTTACCCTCCATTTTTTTGTGTCGAGACTAGAGTTTTCCCTACCCGAGCGTGCTGTGAATCAGGGCAACTTTCTTCCAGAGCGTGTAGGTGTTCCCCCTCCCCCCCCCCCCCCTTTAACAATCAGGGGTCAGGGGTTCCGGATTGGGGCCTTGTTGCCCCCCGCAAATCTGGTTTTTTGGGGGTCATTTAAATCGCTTTTCAATGAACACCCTTTCTTCCACTCCCCATTCTGCAAAATCTATTGGGATACTGCTTCTGAAACCTATTTTTCAGCAACATCTACTGAATTCACCACTGGGGCACAACCGACGCCAGGGGTTTGG